CACAAAAACTTATGAGGTGTCCCATGGATGAGAATACTGTAACTCATTGAGGCTCCTTTAAAAAGCAGAGTACCTTGTTATTGTTGTTGTTAAATGCTGTCGACTTGGTTCCGACCCATAGTGACCCTGTATAGGTGTTCCTAAGAGGGCTGGTGAGCTTGAACCTGAGTTTGCATTCTATCACATTAACCCACAATGCCACACCAGGACTCCAGAGTACTCTTGTAGTTGTTGTTGTTAAGCGCCTTAGAGTTGGTACTGATCCATAGCAACCCTATATAGGGTTTCAGAGGAGCAGCTGGTGAGTTTGAACTGCTGACCCTTGCAGTACAAACCAACTTTGCAGTCCAGTGCATTAACCCACAGTGCCACACTAGAAATCCAGAGTACGCTTGTTGTTGTTGTTATGTGCCGTGGAGTTGGTTCCGACTCATAGTGACCCTGTACAGGGTTTCGGAGGCTGTAAATCTTTAAAGGAGCAGAAAGCCTCATCTTTCTCCCGCGGAACAGCTGGTAGTTTCTAACTGCTCCTCTCTTCCAGATTGACCTGCGGCTCACAGCCCGATTCGTAACCACTACGCTACCAGAGCTCCTTAGAGTACCCTAGAGGGGCAAATTTATTCAATAAACATGGAATTCCATGGAGAAAAATTATACTGACTTCGTATCCTGGTCCCTCTTTGTCTTCTCTTTTGCCCTCCTCACCCAACTTCTTACTCCTGAACATCTACCTCCCCCTGCCACCCCCACATACACACATGTGCATACAGTTTCCTCTACGGTCATTGGAGCAGGCAGATTTGTATTTAGGGGAAACACTCTTTGACTGTATCTGAGAATCCTTCTCCCATTTCTTAGAGTGTAGTGGTTACGAATCGGGCTGAGAACCACAGGGTCAGCAGTTCGAAACTACCAGCTGTTCCACAGAAGAAAGATGAGGCTTTCTGCTTCCGTAAAGATTTACAGCCTCAGAAACCCTGTACAGGGTCGCTATGGGTCAGAACCAACTCTACGGCACATAACAACAACAGCAATAACCTCCCATTAATGGTTTGAAGGGCTTCAAAAAGTTAATCTGGGAAAATGTAATTAAAAGATAGTGGAATTGTTCCATGAACTTTTTAAAGCCCCCTTGTATGTCCAAAGATTAATATTCTATTCAACTTTCTCTCCTTCCATTCTTTCAAAGTAGAGCCTTGGTATGTTGAGTGTGTTGGAGATTTTCTGATTCAAGAAAGAACTCTACATTCTGAATGGTGCTCAGTCCTCAGGCCAACTGCCTTGAATCCTGTGCTGAATACCTGAAGAATAACTACTCCACAGACTAAGAGAGATTTAAGAGATATTTTTAGCATAATTTGGGTGATTTTTATCTTATTTAAAAACAGAAATAAATCATGGATGTTTGGTCTTATAAATGGAGGGCAGACTTGTTCAAAATCATTCCATGGGTCTTATGGCTTCAACTCAGTTTGCTAGGGGTTTTGTTTGTTTGTTTTCTGGAACTGCATTTAAATATTTAAAGCCTTCTCTGGAGGATTTAGAAAGGAGGAGCCTACTGATGGAGCTTGGCCCTTGTGGTCTTTTTCACTCTGTCTTCCTGGCAGTACAAGTGAAAGCTTTGAAAGCTAAAGTAAACCACAAAGTGGCTGCCCAGCAGAGCTGGAGGAAGTCTTCCTCCATTCAGGAACAATGGTGGGCAGTAAAGGACTAGAGAATATAGATGTGGAATTTGGAGCAGAGTCAGCTTCACCTCATTCCTTTTACTGAGCCATTTGCTCAATGTCTCAAGTCTGTAGGGGACAGAAAGGAAGCATCAGTAAGAAACGAAGGGCTATGTACTTGGTATCAGTAGCCAGGAGGGCAAATCAGCCTCTCTACCCATCAAAGGAAGGTTATTGTTGTTGTTGTTTTTAAGTACCGTTGAGTCGATTCCAACCCATAGCCAACCCGTATAGGGTTTTTGTTGTTAGGTGCCGTCAAATCAGTTCCAACTCATAGTGACCCTATGTACAACAGAATGAAACACTGCCCACTCTTGTGTCATCCCATGATTGTTCTGTTTGATCCCATTGTTACAGCCCTTGTGTCGGTCCATTTCATTGAGGGTCTTCCTCTGTTTGGCTGACCCTCTGTTTGGTCATGGATGATGTCCTTCTCCAGGGACTGCTCCTCCTGATGACATGTCCAATGTACAAAGAGACAGAATCTCACTAGCCTCACTTCTAAGGAGCATTATGTCTATACTTCACCCAAAGCAAAATTGTGTGTTTTTCTGGCAGTCCAGCATTCTTCACTATAATTCAGATGCACCAATTATTTTCTCATCTTCCTTATTCATTATCCAGCTTTGCCATTCATATGAGGAGATCAAATATATCATGGCTTGGGTCAGGTGTAGCTTTATCTTCAAAGTGACATCTCTGCTTTTAAACACTTTAAAGAGATCTTTTGCAGCAGATTTGCCCAATGCAGTACATCATTTGGTTTCCTGACTGTTACTTCCATGGGTGGTAATTATGGATCCAAGTTAAATGAAATCCTTGACAACTTTAATCTTTTCTGCATTTATGATAATGTTGCTTGCTGGTCCAGTTGTGATGATTTTGTTTTCTTTGTTGAAATATAATCCATACTGAAGGTTGTAGCCTTTGAGCTTCATCTGCAAGAGCAAGGTTGTGTTATCTGCATATTGCAGGTTGTTAATGAGTCTTCCTCCAATTCTGTTGCCCCATTCTTCTTCATATAGTCCATTTTCTCAGATTATTTGCTTAGCTGATGAGATTGGGCAATGAGACATATTTTCAGAAACATTCAGATAAACAGTGAGACAGAAGTAAATGAAAATGGATTATTTTATTGGTTAAGGAAAGGGAAATTTTTGATAATTAAAATAATCTTAGGCCCAACACCACTAAATACTATTTACTGGAAAATGGATTGTTATTGTATTCATGAATTAGTTATTTGCATGGAAACTGAAATGTGAAATTGCTGAGACGTATCTGGGCCTCCGTCCTTGTTTGGATCATACAGTTTATTTTGAGCCAATTTTTGTTTGCCCTCGTTTCAGCATTTCGTTGGGTGAGAGCCCCTCCAAAAGAGGCTGTATCACTGCAACTCACATCACATCTAATCACCTGACCAATTTGAGCAGTTACATGTCTACCCAAATACTGGGTCACCCTGAGTTGGAACAGACTTGATGGCACTTAACAGCAACAATAACAACCACCTTGATAACCACTTAGTAAGAAAGTATTGTCTGAGCAATTAAAGCAATGCATACTTTTTTCTCCTAGAAAAAATACTATTGTCATAAATATGTCATTAGCATCATATATAAAAATGACAGTTGGCAGAAAAAGAATCTGGAAGATCTTTTATTTTGGCACCAATTTTACCACGATCTCTAATTGGTTAGCGCTGTGTATCTGGAGTCCTGGTGTGGTGCTGTAGGATAAGCACTAGACTGCAAACCGCAAGTTCAACAATTCAAACCCATCAATATCTTCCTCCAGTTATATACATTGTTGTTAGGTGCCATGACTTGGCACCGACTCATAACAACCCTATGCACAACAGAACGAAACACTGCCCAGTCCTGCACCAGATTCACAATCACTGATTGCTACATTTAAGTCCATCGCTGTTGCCACTGTGCCAGTCATCTCATTGGGGTCTTCGTCTTTCTCTCTGACTCTCCATTTCACCAAACACGTTATCCTTCTCCAGAGACTGGTCCCTCCTAACAATTTGTCCAAAGTTTGAGAGGCAAAGTCTAGCCATCCTGGTTTTCAGGGAGAATTCAGACTGTACTTCTTCCAACACAGTTATATATGAGGGGACTTCAAAAAGTTCATGGAAAAATGTAATTGAAAGATAATGAACTTTGTGAAGCCCCCTCTTATGTAGAAGTGAAATTTCTGGGTCATAGATATGTGTATTTATCTGTTCAGTTTCAGTAGATTGCCAGATAGAGTTTCAAAATTGCTACACAAGTTTATACTTCCACCAGCAGTCCATGAATGCTAGTACTGGTTGTACCACATCCTTACCAGCACTTGATAAAGGTCTATCAATTCACATGTCTTAAATGTATTTAACCAGTCCTGGTGTGGCTCTGTGGGTTAATGTGCTGGACTGCAAGGTTGGTTTGAACTGCAAGGTCGGCACTTCAAGCTCACCAGCTGCTCCTCGGAAACTCTACACAGGGTCGCTATGAGTCGGAACTGACTCAATGGCACTTAATAACAAAATCCTTGCTCCTATAGATTAAATTTCATGCTGTAAGCAGTTTCATTTTTCTTTTGTCTTTGTTCTCACTAAAAGAGATTCAAAACTTATATTCTTTTTCTACTTTCAGGTAGGAAGACTCATTTGGTTTTGGAAATTTAGATCAACAAATACTTAGGTAACGTTAGGCATTTTCGAGTTTGAAGAGATAGCTAGCCCCCGGTGCCAAAGACATATGACATCAAATTCTGAATCAGAAGGATAAATAGAGATGAAAAGAAAGGATCCTTTTACAAATGTTTCTTCCATCCTTCCAATATAAGATTTAGCTTTGGTTGCCTAGTGTGGTGCTGTAGGAAAGCTAGGGCTGGACTGCTAACTGCAATATCAGTGGTTCAAACACACCAGCTGCTCCTTGGAAACCCTGTGTAGAGTCATGAGTTAGAAATGACTCAACGGCACTTAACAACAATAACTTCCTTTTTGTCAAGAAAATTCTTACCTTAAATCTTTTTTCCCACTCTACACAAGTGGCCTTTACTCCTTGAAAAAATACTGATTTGAGCAAGACTCATTTGGCTTTTGAAATTTAGTTCAGCTGCTAAGGAGCATGAGCATTTCTTTTGTCGATAAAGGTATGGAGTAGACACCCCATCATGTGACAGACCATCTCTTGTGTGTGTCAGGATTGTGTTTCCATAGATTCTGCAGACAGGGTGGACTTCCATAGACTTTTCAGAAATGCCAATATTGCTTCTTTTCAGAAATTTGGAAGTATTCGGGCAGATTTGATTGAGCAGATGAGATTCAAACAGAGACTGAAAGTGATCCAGACACTTGAGGATACTACGAAACGCAATGTGGTAAGACCTCAGAGAACCAGCACGTGGCCTCCTGCCTCCACCCTTCCCCTGCCCTACCAGCTCAGAAATCCCTTCTTGACAGAACTGAAGATGATTTAAAAGAAGAGAGTCAGGAACTTTCTCAACAGGGTGTTTTGCGAGTGTGTGAGATTGTCTGTTTATTATCTCGACAGGTACGCACCATTGTGACCGAGACTTCGTTTACCATTGATGAGTTAGAAGAACTTTATGCTCTTTTCAAGGTAACTTTAAAAGTAAACTCAGGTACATGCAAGGGGGAAAGAGAAGTCACGTTAACAGGCTAGTTAGTTTTCTATTCCATTATTAAGTGGAACATGACTCTCAACATGCATAAATATGAAGATAGACCTCAAAACTGGAATACTGACTATGAAAACCAAGCATATTGTTTTATAATTATAATTGATATGTTTGCCCTCTTCTAATCAGTATAAATTCTAGCTGGTTCATTGGACCTGAGAAACAGTGGTTGTTGTTGTTAAGTGCCGTCAAGTTGGTTCCAACTCACAGTGACCCTGTGTAGGGTTTCCAAGAAGCAGTTGGTGAGTTTGAACTTCCAACTTTGAAGTTCAAACTGACTCTGCAGTCTAGCGCATTAACCCTCAGTGCCACACCAGGACTCCAGAATATGTGGTATTACTATATTAATACTCTTCTGGGACAATATCAATGAAGTTTACAATCTGCGTAAAGTTATGTGAACTTTAATTTTCTATACTAAGGTGTATTGTTTTTGTTGTTGTGTGCCATTGAGTGGGTTGCATCTCAAAGAACCCCATACAGAGTTTATAAGAGTGGTTGCTGGGTTTGAACTGCCGACCTGCAGTTAGCAGTCCAGTGCTTATCCTACAGTGCCACACCAGAGCTCATATAGTAAGTATGGTGGTCATGGTGGTGGTGTCAGTTCTGACACTTTGTGACCTAGTGTGGCACTGTGAGATAAAGCACTGGACCATGAGGTCCTGTTGAACCATAAGGTCAGCGGTTCAAACTCACCATTCGCTTCTTGGAAACCCTATACAGGGTCACTGTAAGTCAGAACAAACTCGATAGCACTTAACACCAACAAGACAGGCTTTCCAAGGCTTCATATCTTTATGGGAGCAGAAATCCTTATCATTTTTCTGTGGAATAGCTGGTGGATTCAAACTGCTGACTTTGAGGTTAGCAGCCCGACACATAACTCAGTACTCCATTAGGGCTCCTTATTAAGCTGTATAGCATCCTTTTTCTTTTTCTTATTAAGTACTGTTGAGTCAGTTCCAACTCATAGCTACCCTATATGGGATTTCCAAGGAGCAGCTGGTGAGCTTGAAATGCCGATCTTCCAGTTCAAACCTACCTTACAGTCCAACTCATTGACCCTCAGCACCACAAATAGCGAAATAAAGAGTAGGGCAATTGGAATGTTTAAGGAAAATCTTAATCAACTAAGGTTCTGTGCTTTCCATTTCATAATTTAGCCATAGCAACCATGATCCTTCGTAAGAAAGTATTTATTATATGAGCAAATAAAGTAATACATACTGTTTTCTTCTAGAAAAATATAGCGTCATAGGTATATAACATCGAAGATGACAATTGGCAGGAAAAATGTCTGGAGGGTGCCTTTTATGTGGGGACCAGTTTTATCATAATCACAACTTGGATAGCTCTTTGTATATGGTCAGACTCCTGGTATGGCAGTATAAGATCAACACTAGAGTGAGAACCACAAGGTCTGTGGTTCAAATCCACCAGCTTCTCCTTGGAAACCCTATACAGGGTTGCTATGAGTCAGAACCTACTCAACAGCACTTATTAACGACAGTGTATCTGGTGGAGTCCTGGTGTGGTGCTGTTGGATAAGCACTGGACTGTGAACCTCACCAGTCACTCCTCAGAAACCCTATACAGAGTCACTATGAGTTGGAACGAACTTCAAGGCTCTTAACCACAACAACAATTTTTTGTTATTCAAGATATGACTAAGATGTACAAGAGTTCTGGTGGTTTCCAGGATCCCTAAAGTCAGTCACTTTAGAGCACTTAAAACATAAGACTTAAAATCCCCACCTCTTAAGACCATTGGAAAGGAGTCCTGGTGGTGCAGTGGTTAAGCGGTAACCAAAAAGGTGGCAGTTTGAACCCACCCAATGGTTCCGCTTGGGAGAAAGACCTGGAAGTGTTCTCTCATAAAGATGGCAGCCTTATGGGGCATTCCGACTGTGTCACATGGGTGTGAGTGGAAATCTACTCTATGGCGTCCAACAATGTAACCGGATTACCAATTCAAAGAAGAAAGAACATCCCAGAGGATAGCTTTATGTGTGTGTGTGATCACCCCTCCCTTCTCCTCTTTCCCCCTTCTCTTCTCTCTTCTCTCTGTTTTCACGCAATTCTTATTTTCCTCAAATTTATATCCATAAGTGCAGGATTTCTTGCTCAGCAAGAATAGCTTTTTAAATGGAAACCAAAAACAGTGGTATCGATTTTGGGTCCCTACTCTGTGCTATTAGTTTATGAGCACTGACACTGAGTATTTCCTGTGTGCTGGGCACTGCCCCAGCTAACAGATCTAGATTCACTCCTGTAATCCTTCTAAAAGTCCTATGAGTTGTAGGTATGATAATTATCACCCCCATTTTACAAGAGAAATTTGAGACACAGAAAGGTTAAATAAGTTTCCCTAGATCACGCAGCTCCAGAGATTACCTTCATCTTTGCTCCTGGCAGATGTTAGTACCTGACCTCAAGTTCGAACATGATTTCAAAGAAACTTGGGTGCTGAGGTGACTGTGGTTTAAGTAACCTTCATTCACTGGCATAATCCCCAGCCTCGGAGACAATTATGACTCATAGCAACCCAACTGAACCGAGTAGAACTACTCCTTAGGGCTTCTAAAACTGTAAATCTTCACTGGAGTGGTCTCATTGTTTTCTCCAGGACCAACTGGTAGGTTTTAATTGATCTGTGGTTGGCAGCCTTTATGCACAGCCTACAGCACCATAGACAGGCATAGCTCAGTTAAATGCAAGATAAATCCCAGGAAGGTCTCACCAACACCTTCCTGGCCACAGAGGGCTGCTGAACTCCACCCATGATGATTCCCTGCCAGCAAATAATTCAACCCTGCCTTCCTGCCCTCTGCTTCAGTCCTGCAGCCAGGAATGCAACCCCAAAGTGCCCTCCCTCCCCTGTGACTCAGCTTCCTTAAGGGCTGCACTACAAGAACCAGACTTAAGGCCTCTTCACTTACCAGCTGCTGTCTCCCAACTTCCACTCCTTACTCACAACTAACTTACCCTGTTTCCTTTTTCAGAACCCCCTAGGCAAGGGGAATATGGAGTCCTAGTGTGGTGCTGTAGGATCAGCCCTGGACTGCTTTGTGCAAGGTCAGCAGTTCAAATCCACCAGCCACTCCTATAGGGCTGCTGTGAGTTGGAACTGACTCAAAAGCACTTAACAACAACAGAGGCAAGGGGAGCAGTCCTGGTGTGGCAACATAGGTTAAGCATTGGACTGCTAACCACAGGGTTGGTAGTTTAAAACCATCAGTTCCTCAGAAACTCTATACAGGGTTGCTATGCGTTGGAATCGAGCCAACCACACTTAACCACAGGCAAAGAGAAAGATTTGTTTTGAAAGTGCTTTTTTTTTTTTTCCTAGTACCATATGTATAGAATCCCAGCATGACACTATAAGATAAACACTGTACTTCAAGGTCGGTTTGAACTGCAAGGTTAGCAGTTCAAACTCAACATCCACTCCTCGGAAACCCTTTATAGAGTTTCTTGAGTAAGAAGCAACTCGACAGCACTTAACAACAACATATATAAATATAGAGAGAGAGCCCTGTAGTGCTGTGGTTTAATGTGCTGGACTGCAAGGTCGGTTTGAACCGCAAGGTAGACAGTTCAAGTTCACCAGCTGCTCTTCCAAAACCTTATACAGGGTTGCTATGAGTCAGAAGCAACTCAATGGCACTTAACATTGCCATGAGTATGCATTGTTGTTGTTGGTAAGTGTCATTGAGTCGGTTCCGACTCATAGCGACCTTGCCTAGGGTTTCCAAGACCTTAAATGTTTGTGGGAACAGAAAGCCTCATCTTTCTCACAAAAAGTATACATGCTTATAGTAAAATAAACAGTACAATACATGAATAAAGTAAAAATAAAGTCCGTTTTTTTGTGTTCCTCCTCTTTCCCTACCTACCACCCAGAGTTAACCGTAAACGTGTACCTCTGTGTATGTGTGCGTATTTGTGTCTTTCCAGACCTGTTCGCTTCATTTGTGCAGTCTTCGTAGAATGGGCGTGTATTTCAACCAGTCAGTATGATGCCAGAATAAAAGGCTACCTTGTTTCCAAGGACAGAAATGGCAAGCTCCTTGCTGCATCTGGCTATCTATTCTCTTCACCAAAGTGGTTCCTACTAATACTTTCTCTAGAACTCCAGATATGCAAACTCGAAAAACTTCACATTTGTCAATTGACCATGACCTTGATGATATTTAAGAGGCCTTGGTGGTGCTGTGGGTTAGGCATTGGTCAGATAACACCAAGCTTGGAGGTTCAAACCCACCATCCACTGCTCAGGAGACAGATATGGTTGTCTGGTTCTGTAAAGATTTCATCTCAGAAAGCTTCTATAGGATTGCTGAGTTAGATTCGATTCAATGGCCATAGGTTTTGGTTTTTTAGCAGGGGAGAACTTATAATGATATTTAAGTGCTTTCAATGACCAAGGAAAGCAGAGGAGTTTGTGTAAAGATGGGACACTAAACAGGAAATCAGTAAACCCACAATTTTATCATGATTCTACATTCACTAACTGGCTAAGCGACCTTGTATAACATTGCCTAAATTATAGATCTTTTTCAGATAAATATTCTAATTATTTAAAAAAAAAATTTGATTATGTATCCCCCTTTATGGGAATCATTTCTTTAAATTTTTGTGACTATGTGTGTAAAGGGGAGGGGCGGAGAGTTTGTCACTCTTTTTTCACCTATTTCCAGTAACTGAACCGAATCCATTTCTGGCAGATGTAAACTACAGAAATGGCTGGCGTAGAGTTGGTGGGGAAGTGGTCAGGTGGAGGTATGTGTAAAATGAGGAAACAGCAGAGGAGATGTGAGGACAGAGCATTGGCCCAGGGACGCACATGGGTTGTCCTAAAGGAGTTCTCCAAATAGCCCTTATTTGCTATACTATAGATACCCCAGTAATCATTCTGTTCTTTGGTTTCTCAGGCAGAGCATCTAACCAGCTGCTACTGGGGTGGGAGCAGCAATGCACTGGACCGGCATGACCCCAGCTTGCCTTACCTGGAACAATACCGCATTGACTTCGAGCAATTCAAGGGGATGTTTGCTCTTCTCTTCCCGTGGGCATGCGGAACCCACTCTGATGTTCTGGCTTCCCGCTTATTCCAGCTATTAGATGAAAATGGAGACTCTCTGATTAATTTCCGAGAGTTTGTCTCTGGGCTAAGTAAGGATATAATGTTATTGCATGAGTAGGGAGCCACAGGGTTGGGGCAATGGGGAGGTAACCTTGATGGTTATCAATACTGCTACAGGGCCACAGTCTGTAAGTCACAGAATATTGAGTTTCAGGACAGAGAGCCACATACCAAGGTTTTCCAACTGGTTGTAAAATTTTTTTTACTTAATCAATATATTGTATGGAAAAATCATTGTCTTCTGCATTAGACATCCCTCAACACTAGTTAAAAGTACATTATCAGAGGATATGCAAGAACATAAAATACTAACTTAAACACCAAAACCACAGACCATAAAAACTTTACAAGAAACAAAAAGAAATGTTTGGGTGAATTGCCTTTTCTTTTAAATAATATATAGTTATTTAAATGGAGCAGCAGTCAGGAAATCAAAGGATATATTGGACTTCATCGTACATACTTTGGATGTGCTATAAGGAAGGATCGGTTCCTGGAGAAGGACATCATGCTTGGTAAAGAGGAGGGTCAGCAAATAAAAGAACAGATGGATACCTTGGCTGCAACAGTGAGCTCAAACACAGGGACAACTGTGAGGGTGACACAGGACCAGGCAGTGTTTTGCTTTGCTGTGCCTAAGCTCACTACATGCTGGACCTGACTCAACAGCACCTAACAATCTAGCATATACAAAAGATTTTAATATTTCATTGAAACATTTCACGATGTTTTTCACATAGGACTAAAAAATCCTGCAGTCTGAGTAGAAGTCTCTTTTCTCTCCATGTTGCCATGAGGAAGGTTAAGTCATCTTGAGACAAAGCATTTCAAATTGGTACTTCTGTGACTTTTAGGTGCCGCATGCCACGGGGACCTCACAGAAAAGCTCAAACTCTTGTACAAAATGCACGTTTTACCTGGTAAGTGAGCGACTTCGCAGCGTGTGTACTTGTAACCAGGAGCTGACTTGGAACCTCTCATCTGAAGCTGTATGCTTCTTTTTGACACACAAAAGCACTTGTGGGACCAGAGATGGAGGCAGAGATGGGGACATGGAGAAAGGGAGCAGCTGAGGACTCAAGGGTCATGGAAAGAGAGAGACTGAGAGCTGGAAGCCAGGAGGCAGACTTGCAGAATGTGCCCTTTGGTGGTTTAAATTGTTACATATGCCTGATTGTTTAAAAAAAAAAGAGCTAAAATGAATAGAGAGAAATACTGTTAACTGATGGTATATAGAGGGGATTATAATCATTGTAATGAAACAAAGTATATGATTGGTTGAATGTAAAACTAATGATCTGCCCTCTAAACAATTCACAATAAAAACTTAATTTTTTTTTTTTTTTAAACAAGCACTGGTGGCCACTACAAAGGAACTCAATGACAATTATTTGCAGTTTCTTTGAACAAGCATGTGCTTGATTCTCTATGCACTGTGGTATAGGAAAGAGCGGGCATATGGAAGCAGAAAAATAAATAGCATTTGGCAAAATACAAGGATTTTGAAAGAGATAACATATAGGAGACTCTGAGCTTGTGGGTCTGGGGCAGCAATTCTAACATTAACTGGGATATAGAAGGTTTTAGGTGGGAAGAGTTCAGTTTTAAACATGGTTGGCTTCCATTTAAGCTAGTCAGTAATATCTGTTATTGTGATGAACTGAAAGGCACGATTTACTACATGCTAGAAATACATGTTAATATACTAGGAAATGCTAGAAAAAATAGGGGTGGGGGTGAACCCTAAAAACAGAGATAGAGTAAAACTATATGTAGGATCAGCACTGGACTAAAAACCACAGAGTTGGCAGTTCAAACCCACCAGCCATCCTTACAACACCCTCTACAGGGTGGCTGTGAGTCGGAACCAACTCGACAGCACTTAACAACAGCAACAAGTCTGCACATGTGGGGTGTTCATGAGTGGGAATGTACACAGTACACAATAGCACAGATTGGGAATTGTGTATATAGCATGCAGTGTCCTGTGGTTTGATGTATAAAACATATTTCCACGGGATTTGGAAAACTCTTCATGAACTAGAAAAAGGAAGGGATGATTTTGGTGGTATTATTTGAAAGGACAAAGTCCCGCCCTCCTCCTTACTTCTAAGGGTTTTAGAGGCAGTAACATTCCAGGCAACCCAGTGGTGTCACTCTGCCAAACTTCTGTATCTTTAACTTGTCATCCTCCTCTGTGTCATTTCCTGTAATAATTAAAGCACACTTTCATTGAGTTATGACCTTGCCAATATGAAAAAAGAATTATCTTTCCTCCCGTCTCCAGAGCCATCCTCTGATCAAGATGAGCCAGATTCTGCTTTTGAAGCAACTCAATACTTCTTTGAAGATATCACCCCCGAATGTACACATGGTAAGTGGCCTTTCTCATCACAGGTACTGTATCCCATTTCGACAGCATCCTCTCTGTGTTATGATAAAGACTTGCCTCCAAAGTGAGCCAATCATTGAATTTTGTGAATACAGCTGCCCCACATGTTACTGTCCAAAGTCTAAAATGTTTACGGAAAAATTTGCTGAGCTCTGCTCTGTGTGATTGTTCAGTCTACACAGGCATGATTGTATATATCTGTACATTTATAGACTAAGTCATGTGCTAGTTTGTTTTTATGGATCTAAGCAATGTCTCTCAGCTTGTTAACTGCAGGCAGTTATTTACCTTATAATTAGGGCAGCTTGTGTCTTCATCTAAATCTGATAGTAAATGTGGGTTTCTCCTAAGTTTCTTACTTCGTAAATTTTGTCATCCCCAAATAAGCACAGGTTAGACCTGCTTTAAAACTCTAGGCATTGAGGTGATTGAATGGAGGGGGGATAAGCTAAACTCAGTCTTTTTATTATTATAAAAACTATAAACTTGAAGGTAGGAGCCATGGACAGAATGTTAGCTCTCTATATTGTTATCTAAGTGACCTAGGACCAGTTCTTTGTATCTCTCAGTCTCAGATTCCTTGTTTGGAAAATGGAGACAATAACTGTCATACTGGTTGTTGTCTGAATTCACTGAGACAAAGCAAGAAAGCTTGAGCACGATATCTTATTAACATGTCCTACAATATTCTTAACATTGTTAACAACTGAATTCTGGCTACAAAGTTTTAGACATACAAGGAGCTTCAAAAAGTGTCTGGGCATTTTCCATTATCTTTTCATTCCATTGGCCACAAACTTTGTGACCCCCCTTGTATATCCCTCAGCAGACACTCATTTCAGGAAAGATTTACATGTTTCAAAAATGCTTCAAGAATAATCACATGCCAGTAGCATTTAATCTCACTGAAAGATGCTTTAACAAATGTTTTTTAATCCCCAAAGGAATAATGCTTCCTGTTGAAATTTTTCAAATATAAGTAAAATGCATAAAAATGTCTTAAAATCTTACTATATTATCTTGAAATACGAGAGGGCGTTTAAACATTCATAGAAAAAACTATCTTTCAATTCTATTGTTCCACAAACTTTTTGAAGTCCCTTTAAGTCTTTTTAACTCATATGACATATGTAATTAGAATAATTAATACGTATAAATGGGATAGAGCTACCTATGCAATTATGTATCCCACTTTTTTCTCTTAAAAGCCATCGCACTTATGGAAGCCATGTCGTTAAAAATTCTTTGAAAAATAGCTTCCAAATAGTGTATAATATCCGTTTGATAAGTTACCATACATGAAACATTTTGAATATTTGTTTTCTCAATCATTTTCAACATTAAAGGGAAAGGTGATGTATAGTATGTATTGTCCTCACTGTCTTAAAAGCTGCTGAGATTAATTGAACACTAGTCCAGGTGTGGCACTGTGGGATAAAGCAGGGGGCTGCAAGGTCAGTTTAAACCACAAGGTTGGTGGTCCAAATTCACCAGCCACTTCTTGGAAACCCTATACAGGAATCACTATGAGTCAGATCAACTTGACAGCACTTAACTACAACAATACAGTAGTGGTCAATCTAGCCCATAGCCTGCCACCTACTGGTATGTCTGAAGACATGCTGGAATGCACTCCAGCTGACAAGCCGAATGGGAATCTGAGAATGATAAACACTTCTCCCCTTGGAAGTCCTTCCCTGCCCTGTTATTGTTGTTGTTGTTGTTGTTGTTGTTGTGTGCCGTGGACTCATAGTGACCCTGTACAGGGTTTCCGAGGCTGTAAATCTTTATGGCAGTAGAAAGCCTCATCTTTCTCCCGCAGAACAGCTGGTAGTTTTGAACTGCTGACCTTGTGGCTTGCAGTCCTATTCATAACCACTATGCTACCAGAGCTCCCTGCCCTGTAGATGCCCTGTTTTAAGAACAAAGAAAACAATTATAAGTGGGTTCCTTGAAGACTGTATTTTTGAAATGCCAAATTGTGAAGCTGAAGGAATTTTAGGACACACAACACTTTAGCAAAACTTTACCCAAAAGATTTTGTTGGTGGTGGTGGTGGTAGTTTTTAATCAACATTAATTTTCATTTTCTTAAAAGACTGTATTCTTGATCTTTTGCTGGGGCTGGCAGGAAATGAATGCCATGTATGCAGAGTTGCTGTTGCTAGTAAGTGCCATTGAGTCAGTTGCGACTCATACCCACCCTGCATAGGGTTTCCAAAGAGTGGCGTATGAGTTTGAACAGCTGTCCTTGCAGTTCAAACGAACCATGTGGTCCAATGCTTATGCTACAGCACCGTATCAGAAATCCTGAAGATAGACGTGCTAATAGGAGAGAGAGAGATTCACTGGGGGCAGCCACCACAGTTTTTAAGTCCTTTACCTAGAAGTAGGGTTGCCAGATAAAATACAAGGCACCTAGTAAAATTTGAATTCCGGATAAACAACATAGAAGTTTTTAGTATAATGAGTATATGCCATACAATATTTGTAGGAAACCTGGATTAGGCGTTGGACTGCTAGCCGCAAGATCTGCAGTTCATACCCTCCAGCTACTCCTAAGGAGGAAATGAGGCTGTCTCTCCCAGTAGAGATTTATAGTCTCAGAAACCCTGAAGGAGCAGATCTGTTCTGTCCTGTAGGACCACTTTGAGTCAGAACCAACTCAATGGCAGGGGTTTCTACAATATTTGGGATATACTTAGACTAAAAAATGTTGCATGGGACGTACTTATATTTTAAAAAAATACTTGTTTATCAAAAATGCACATTTAAATGAGTGTCCCATGTTTTCATTTTCTAAATCTGACAGCCTTTTTTACTTTCTGTTACAAATGCTAAGTCTGTGGGTATATTATATAACATTCTGTTTTGTTTTGTTTTTTTCTTCTGAATGTCTCTTGGTAGTTGTTGGATTGGACAGCAGAAGCAAGCAGAGTGCAGATGATGGTTTTGTTACAGTGAGTCTAAAGTCAGACAAAGGTACTTATTTTCTCTTCTCTTTCTCTCTGCTAGTTGAATACTTATTCTTGACCTTTGAACATATATTTCTTCACATTTGGGTTTTAGGAAAGAGGGCAAATTCTCAAGAAAACCGTAACTACTTGAGACTTTGGACGCCAGAAAATAAATCTAAGTCAAAGAATGCAAAGGATTTACCCAAATTGAATCAGGTGAGTGCCTAAGAGTTTAAAGCGTCCTTTTCAAACCTTGAAGCTCTGTTTTCCAATTATAGATAAATGTAGAACAAGTATCTGTGTGAATATACTTGTGCATGATTTTTGTGACTCAAAAGTATGCTTGGTTGTGAGAAAATGACCTGCCAGAGAAAATATGAGCCAAAAAATATTCAGTTTTGAGAATGTATGTTTCTCATCCCAAGCCATTAGACACACAAATTCTCAAAAGGGAAGGCCTTACTGCTTACAGTTGACTGTGCTCAGCCATAAAGATATCACCCATATACTTCCTTAAAGAGTTGGAATGTGATGAGATCAGTAAAGCAATATAAATGGTTATAACACAAGATAGAAAATGCTAAGCCACACAACAAGAAACCAAGGATATGGCTGGGAGGAGAGGGATTGGGCTAACCTTGGAAAAACTGAGGTGCATATGACTAGTGAAATGAGATGCCGTCTAGGATTTCCTTAAAATACTAAAGCAAAGATGAAAAAAAGCTAGTGAACCAAATGCACAGCATATTAACCATTATTGCATCTAGGTAATAGGCATATGATAACTTCTTATTTCATTCTTACTACTTTCATGAATGTTTGAATTTTCATAGCTAAAAAAATGAAAGCAATAACCAATAAAAAGACTTAACGCAAGCAAATGAATCCATCCTGCACATAGGATTTCTTGGAAGCATTCTGTAACCAGTAGCCATCAAGTCGATTTTAATACCTGTTGACTGCACGTGTATCAAAGTAGTTTTCAGTTGCTGGGTTTTTATTTTAGTAGATCTACACACCTTTCTTCTGAGGTGTCTCTGGATAGACTTAAACTTCCGACATTTTAGTTGGCAGCAGGGGGCGCTAAACATTTGCACCACCCAGAGACTGGAGATCTTTTCAAATGGAATTGTACTTTTAGTGTATTCAATCCTGCCTCTGTCCTCTCCATAAAACCATCACATTCTTTTGTTTTTCCAAATCATTTTCCAGGGTCAGTTTATTGAGCTGTGCAAGACAATGTATAACATGTTCAGCGAGGACCCCAGTGAGCAGGAGCTATACCACGCCACGGCAGCGGTGACCAGCCTCCTGCTTGAGATCGGGGAGGTGGGCAAACTCTTCATCACCCAGCCTGCAAAGGAGGGCGGGAATGGAAGCAGTGGGCCACCCTGCAATCAGGGCATACCTGGCATGCTCTTCCCCAAGAAAGGGCCAGGCCAGCCTTATGTGGTGGAGTCCGTGGAGCCCCTCACAGCCAGTTTGGCAGCCGACAGTGAGGAACACTCCCTGGGAGGGCAGATGGAGGACATTAAGCTGGAGGACTCCTCGCCCCGGGACAATGGGGCTTGCTCTTCCATGCTGATCTCGGATGATGACACCAAGGACGATAGTTCCATGTCCTCCTACTCGGTGCTGAGTGCTGGCTCCCACGAGGAAGACAAGCTGCATTGTGAGGACATTGGGGAGGACACAGTCCTGGTGCGCAGCGGCCAGGGCACGGCAGCGCTGCCCCAGAGCACCAGCCTGGACCGGGACTGGGCCATCACCTTCGAGCAGTTCCTTGCCTCCCTGTTAACTGAGCCTGCCCTGGTGAAGTACTTTGACAAGCCTGTGTGCATGATGGCTAGGATAACTAGCGCAAAAAACATCCGGATGATGGGCAAGCCGCTCACTTCCGCCAGTGACTACGAGATCTCCTCCATGTCAGGCTGACAAGGGGCAGGGGATGGTCTTTTTTAAGTTCTTCTGTGTCGGGCTTTTTTTCCTTTAAATTAAATATTTATTAGTATCCTGGCTTGAAGCCAGTTGTTTTCATAATATAATATAATGAAAACTGTTGAAGAAATATTTAAGCACCTCAATGTAGGTACAGTACACTCTCTTACTCTGTTGGTGGGGGGAGGGTGGGGATTTACCAGAACACAGTTTATTCCGTGGATTCTCAAAAGAGATGAGTCTGTCAGTGATATGTGTGTATTATAACTTATTAATCTTGCTGTTGAGCTGTAAACATGGTTTCAAAAATAGTGCTATTTAACATTAAATAAGGTGGCCGTCGTTTGTGTATTTGGGGCTTTTTAAGTAAAATTAGAGCTGTAAGGAAAATGAAATGCTATAAATGCAAGAACGTTCTTAAATGAGAAAGGCTTTCTCTGCTGGGGCAAGTCCTATACTACACCACTTTAGGAGGCATTCTAACTATGTTTTAGGATTTGAAATATATTTCATTAAAGCCCTCTATTCAAAATCCAGCAGATGTTACCCTTCAAGGGGAAAACACTTAAGGATCTATATAATTATGAATTTGTAAATGATTGTTAGGTACTGCCGGAATAGCACTTATGTTTGGCCATATTGGAAAATTACCAGGTCAGTTCTTCACTAAAAAAAAGAAAAAAAAGTCTATTCTAATAAATATGTCAGCTGGCCAGAATTCAGTGAAAATAAACAGTCTTTTGTGACAGAGACATGTGGCAGCAAAGATGACAGAAGGTTGCATTTTTATTTGTTTTGAAAGAAAGTACTAATACTTCTGAAACTGGATTTTCAGCTGCTTCTTTTTCATTGCAAAGAGAGCAAATATTAAAATATTAAACTTTATCATTTCTGTAATCTCCATAGACTGAGAAAAGTATACCGTGTATCACATATGACCACCTTTTAAGTGAATCAGTATAAAGTAGTAATCATGTAACTGGGGAAAAAGTCTGCAAGATACAGTTACTGAATGTTTGGAAACAGAACTTGTCACTTTATATAAAAGAATAATGTGCTCTATCTTTTTCTTGAATGGATATGGAAATGAAAACTAGCACACCTGCACTTTGAATTCTTGCTTCTTTTTTAATTACGAATATGATTTTGTTTTTTGCAGACATGGGAGTTGTTTTGTTTCCTCATTATTGTTGAATTTATAATCATGGTCACATTTTCTTTGCTTATTCAGAATAATCCTTTCAGCACATTCCTTTGTTTTATTACACATTGTGTTCTTATTTTAGTTGTTGCTCCTGTTTTCTACTATTTTGTTTACAGAATGATTTTTAAGCTGTCAAATGAAGTAGTGTTAACCTCAAATAGGATAAATGTGAACAAATAAAATACATCAGATACTCAGATATGGTTTTGATCTCAGTGCTTGAGCTCGTGCTAAGTTAATGACATTATTCCTTTGATAACTTTGCAGGAGAAGTTTTATTAGGAAACCGTTTTGACTAATTTTTATAGACAAATATTTTGAGATAATGAATATAGTGTAGTGATGTATATGAATGATTGTATTTAAAATAATGGAGAGAATGCATCGGTAATCTAATTTAAAATTCTTATCCTACATAAAGAATGATGGAGTGGAAATTCTTCTGGAATATTTGCTATGTATTTAATTGAAGTCCTGGTGTGGTGCTGGAGGATACGCACAGAACCATAAGGTCTATTTGAACTCTAAGTCAGTAGTTCAAACCCACTAGCTGTACCTAGGAAACCCTATGTAGGGTCACTAAGAGTTGGAAACAACTCAACAGCACTTAACAACAATGTATTTAATTGAAGTCTCTGGGTGGTGAAAATGTGTTATGAGCTCTACTTCTAACAGAAAATTTGGAGGTTCCAATCCATCTAGAGGTGAGGTAGCTTATAGCATCTCTTAGAATACTTAAACAGGAAAGAATCAGATTGATGCCTCATCTCTAGAACTGGCTGAGGAAATATTTGTGCCTTAGAATAGGTTTAATGAATGCCCTAATCTTATGAATTTCCACCACCCACTATGAGCTGTTCTAGACACTGAGGGTGGGGCAGCAATGAATAACACAGTAAGAAATTTTGCTCTCAAGGGAACTTGACATTCTGATATTAGTGTTTATTGTTGAGTGCCATTCAGTCAGTTCCAACTCATAGCAACCCTATGCACAGCAGAAGGAAATATTTCCCATTTCTGTACCATCCTCACTATTGTTTCCATGTTTGAGCCTATTGTTGCTGCCACTGTGTCAATACATGGGTTTTTTTTCTTTTCTTTTCTTTTTTTAAGCGTTTACTGTGAATTGAGTGAAAGTTTACAGAGCAGATTGTCAGTTTTACATTCAATACATCATTTTTTGTTTCATTGCAGTGATTACAATCCCCTCAGTGAATCATCAGTTAACAGTATTTACCTCTATTCTTGCCCACCTTTTTTCATACACACATACAAAACAGAAAATATATATTCGTTTAATTGTCCAAAGGGCACACTTTGCAAGCCAGCCTCCTGCCTGCAGTCACATAGCCTTTCTCATTCTGTGGGCCTAGAGTTCCAGCTAGCCATCCAAGCTAGGTCAAATGGGTACTATCTGCAAATTTGGGAGTTCTTGCACACCTCTCCACACTTCCTACCAGCTGGCCACTTTACTCCCAACTCTAGTTCCCAATGGCTAGTCACTGTCCATGGGCTCAGGAGGTCACAGGCAACCCTAAACTTCGTACTAGCCAGTCCTTTCTCATCTCTCTTGCATCTCAAGGCCAATGGTTCATCACTGTAGTTCCCCCACATCCACTAACAAGCAGGTCACTAGAGAGTATACAAGATTGCTCTTGGGTTCCTTTTGGGTTTCTGTCCTAGAAGGGGGTTTATCCCAATGTGCTGACTTTTCTTGCCTTGATGACTTCAAGGTAAATATTGTTTGATATTCTAACAGCCAAACAGTCTGCTTTTTCTCTGCTGGTCTTTCTTTCAAGAAATATCTTCTGTTCCTCTAGCCACTCAGGGTTGGTCTGAATGTCTTTTTCAAGTGGGAATGTCGCACCTCACTAGGTGGGGCCCAGGATTCCATCTAAGGCCCCATGCTGGCCCTGGTGTGACACAACTAAGCTTATTTCCCTGGGCAAATTCTAATTCCCCTTTTATCTAATTCAATCAGATATACGCTGAAGACTGGTTACCAGTTTCTGTAATCATAATTCCCAATATCTCTTTTGATCACACTTAAATGTCTACTTTACAAATAAAAGGCAGGGGAAACCAATATCCACAAGACAGTCAAGCACCTTAACATATCTGCCCACCCCCCTTTACCCGTTCTGACTATGTCTGCATCTCTGTATCACAGAACCATGTTGTTCCAAAGTTGTATATACATATAGCCCATGCATACCTCCCTAAATCTTCCCATCTTCCTTGTTCATCTACTCCCCTACCCATCTCCCGAGCTAATATGTGTCTACCCACTAACCTGTGAATTACTGACCCCTCCCTCCCACACCTGGTAGCCATCAAAGACTTTTTTAGATTGGAAATCTTTTCTAAAGTTTTTACAATAATGGTCTTATGCAATATGTGTCCTTTTGTGACTGATTAATTTCTCTCAACATTATGTCCTCAAGGTTCATCCATGTTATGAGGTGTTTTTCAGCTTTATCGTTTTTCTTCAAGGTGGCATAGTATTCCATTGTGTGTATGTACCAAAGCTTGTGTATTCTTCCATGGATGGGTACTTAGACTGTCTCCATCTTTTTGCTATTGTGAATAGTGTTGTGATGAACATTGGTGTGCATATATCTACTAGTTTTCTGGCTTGTATTTCTTGTGGATATATACCAAGTAGAGAAACTACTGGATCATAAGGTATTACTATTTCTAACTTTCTGAGGAAGCGCCATTCTGTTTTCCAGAGTGGTTGAACTGTTTTACAGTCCCACCAGCTAGGTAGGAGGGTCCCACTCTCTCCATACCCTTGCCAGCATTTATTGTCCTCTGCTTTTTTAAACTTCACTGTTATTGCTGGTGTGCGATGATGTCTCATTGGTGTTTTGATTTGCATCTCTCTAATGGCTAATAGGAGCTCTGGTAGTGTAGTAGTTACGAATCGGGCTGCAAACCTTAAGGTCAGCAGTTCGAAGCTACCAACCACTCTGTGGGAGAAAGGTGAGCCTTTCTGCTCCCGTAAAGATGTACAGCCTCAGAAACCCTGTACAGGGTCGCTATGGGTCGGAACTGACTCGCCGGCACTTAACAACAACAACAATGGCTAATAATCATGAACATTGCTTTATATATTTGTTGGCTGCCTGAATGTCTCCCTTAATGAAGTGTCAGTTCATGACCTGTGCCCATTTTTAATTGGGTTATTTGTACCCATTCATTCTTTTATTTTTGTGGTAATTTGGAGCCCTGGTGTGACACTATAGGACAAGCACTACACCACAAGTTCTGTTTGAACTGCAAGTTTGGCAGTTCAAATCCACCAGCTGCTCGTTGGAAACCCAATACAGGGTCACTTTGAGTCAGAACTAACTCGATGACACTAAACAACAACAACAAAGATGGTTTGTCTAAGTTATTAAGCAATCCTGACACATGTTCAAGCATGTCTTTTTTATTAAGACATGTTACCAAGGCTGTGCCAATACATCTTGTTGAGGATGTTCCTCTTTTCCCCTGATCTTCTACTTTACCAAACATGATAAGGAAACATGGAATATCAGACAAAACAGATTCAGAGGATGTTTCCAGAACTCTTAACTTCAGATAAAGAGACAAATAAAGCGATCGAATGCTTGCTGGGAGTAAGATTTGGAGCAGAAGCTAGAAAGAAGGTGGCTTCTGATTTGTGGTAGCCAATGAGCTGTCACAAGCATTTTGAATGGGAATGAGTGAATAAAGGTTCAAGAGAGCATTCCCATCACTGAGCTCTGTTGGACCAGAAGAGATAAAGGTGCGAGCATTCCTTTTT